CCCGGGTTTCCATCAACCTTATGTTCTACTTGAACCCGAATTCGACTGTTTTCGAGAAATACGCTCATTTGCAAATCGATTTGGTTTTTACGAGAGACTCAACTGAATCTCTCGTTTGTGATATTCAGTTGAGTCTCTCGTGAAAACCAAATTGATTTGCAAATGAGTGTATTTCTCGAAAACAGTCGAATTTGGGTTCAAGTAGAACATAAGGTAGACGGGAACTCGGGTACTGATGAGCCCACCTGACGAGCAGCAAGAAGGGCGAAACCGGTCGTGAGCTGTCGGAGAGTTTTATGCAACCTTGTGAGTAGTTTCCTTTATGAAAATATACTGCGATATCTCGAATACCGTGCCAACTGAATCATGAGGTGGCCTGTGTGCAGCACATTCAGTTGTAGAATATCATAAACGAGAGATTCAGTTGAGTCTCTCGTAAAAACCAAATCGATTTGCAAATGAGCGTATTTCTCGAAAACAGTCGAATTCGGGTTCAAGTAGAACATAAGGTTGATGGAAACCCGGGGACTGCGCCTACCTGATGAGCCCCAAGAAGGGCGAAACCGGTCGTGAGCTGTCGAAGAGTTTTCTGCAACCTTGTGAGTAGTTTCCTGTATTCAGCTTGCCCGTGATGAGCACATAACGTGTGATCCATCAGCGCAGAGAAGTTTAACAAAATCGCTCTCCTACAGAACAGAGTAAGTAGATTAAGTGCAGCAATTTGATTAGACATTAAAATAGATTGGACGGATTAACTGGAGTATTTCTAATGACCCGACAACACATAAGTTGTCCAATGCAAAGTGGGGAGAAGAACTTGTTTATTTGGAGTCACGGAACCCTCTTGGAAAGGATCTGACACATGCAAACGTAGTGCTTCTTTTCTGTGGAAAAATACTTTTGTCAGTGCTCGACGGATGCTGGCTCATTCCTTGTGTAGGGGTGGACTGAACTGGACTATAAGTACAGGAAAGAACCACAGTCCCATCTTTGAGTCGTTCAGCGCTCACGATCAACGGCGAAACAGTAGGACTACGCACGGAGGGAACTGATGTATTCAGCTTGTTTGGTTTTTAAGAGACTCAACTGAATCTCTCGTTTATGATATTCTACAACTGAATGTGCTGCACACAGGCCACCTCATGATTCAGTTGGCACGGTATTCGAGATATCGCAGTATATTTTCATAAAGGAAACTACTCACAAGGTTGCATAAAACTCTCCGACAGCTCACGACCGGTTTCGCCCTTCTTGCTGCTCGTCAGGTGGGCTCATCAGTACCCGAGTTCCCGTCTACCTTATGTTCTACTTGAACCCAAATTCGACTGTTTTCGAGAAATACACTCATTTGCAAATCAATTTGGTTTTCACGAGAGACTCAACTGAATATCACAAACGAGAGATTCAGTTGAGTCTCTCGTAAAAACCAAATCGATTTGCAAATGAGCGTATTTCTCGAAAACAGTCGAATTCGGGTTCAAGTAGAACATAAGGTTGATGGAAACCCGGGGACTGCGCCTACCTGATGAGCCCCAAGAAGGGCGAAACCGGTCGTGAGCTGTCGAAGAGTTTTCTGCAACCTTGTGAGTAGTTTCCTGTATTCAGCTTGCCCGTGATGAGCACATAACGTGTGATCCATCAGCGCAGAGAAGTTTAACAAAATCGCTCTCCTACAGAACAGAGTAAGTAGATTAAGTGCAGCAATTTGATTAGACATTAAAATAGATTGGACGGATTAACTGGAGTATTTCTAATGACCCGACAACACATATATATACAACACACATATTTATATATATATATATATATATATATATAGTGACAGAGCGTGAAATCAGAAGAATGATCAATTTAGACAGCACGACGCATCGCCCGTACCTGCATTCGTTAGCTCGAGTTCCTATGAGTTTTAACTACAGCTGTTTTTGACCTTACAACATAAGTTCATCCCTGTCAGTCATATAATTCGTGCGTTGCGCAAAGCCACAATTACTTCTTGGGTGTAAGCCTAAAGTGGAACCTGTGGGATTGGTTACAAAACTTGCGAAACCAAGGGATCCTATTTGCTTGCATTCTTTTCACTCCTGTTCGTCTAGTTCTTCTAAAGAAACTGCATAGACAGCTGTGTCGATTCACCGATGTGGTGATTTTCTGATCAGCCTTCGTGACCCACTGGATCATGACTGATAGACAAATGAGGCCAACTGCCAATTATACGCTCATATGGTCCGACTGCACTGTCACTTGTGCACGACTTACCACAAAGGATGCCAAAACTGATTATCTGAGATACCCGATGCCTGACAGTTTTCAACAGATCGGGTACGTGTTGACACAACATCAGCAGATGAATGAAGGTAGGGCTTTGAATGCGTTTGCACTTCGAATACGTTCGACTGAAGGGCATCCAAAAGCGGCCATCTGTATTTAAGGCTATTTGAAATGTCCGTGAGCCGAAAACACACATCAGTAGAACACAACAAGTCTTTCATTCGCAGAGGGAACCATGCTGTGCTTGATGAATAGATTACGCTTTGAAGGCTGTAGTCCCTGAAGGAAGATTTTTCCCTAAACTTGGACTGGCTCAGGACTGGCTCAGATATCGAATATTCCATAGCCTGACTTGTCTTCTTGATTAGGTTTTCGTTTGGCCATTCAAACGATTTCAAGATTTTCATCTTGGTGAATTTCAAAGACCTTAAGAATGGGTCGGTTCCCAGGTGTAATATTCTCTATGTTGTTGTGAAAAAATCTCCGGCGGCCCTTATTCTTTTTTACCCTTCTTGGAGCTCGGAAGTCCACTGGTGGCAAGGCCCCTGGGAAGCAGCTTGTCACAAAGGCCTCCGCAAGGGCGCGCCGACGACTGCTGGTGTGAAGAAGCCAGTGAGGCGCACATTGTTGGCCTTTTCGAAGACACCAACCTCTGTTCTCGAGTTCCTATCAAGCATGCTTCTACTGAAAAACCAAATTTGCCCAAGAGCAGTCATACACCAGCCTGTGTCATCGAAACGAATGTGATAAATCGTCTCTTTCCTTACTGAATTTCCGATGGCTATTCCATTCCTGTGAAAAGCCAAGAAAAAGGCAGTACAGCTTTTCCTCCTTACTGGAAGTTATCGGTATTATACATCTAACAATAATTCAGTCTCCAAGCAGCAGTCTTTGGGCTAGTGATTAAACAGTTAACCTTCCGGTCACGAACAGCTGATCAGCGGCGTGATTGACTCCATTTAGATCGCATGTGGTGTCACTCATTTGTCTAGCACGGACTTCACGTCATATGGTCCCTCGGTGACTGTGTGATGTACATTATGAGAATGGTGGGTGAGTGGCGAGTTAACCACACCACTGAGCAGCCACTACTGTCCAATCTAAGGATCATCTACTTGCTGGGAGGCTGCTGGTTCGATTCTCTGGATTTTCGCGAGGTCTAAAACAGCTGTGTTTTGCGTCTTGGCTTTTCAGCATAGAATGACTTCACTTACCTGGTGAAATCTTCATTGAAAGCATTACAATAGTTTGCAGCGTAACGTGTAGCGCCGATTTTGTGTACTTGGATGTTCAAGTAGAAAATGTGTACCATGGAGCATTGGAGCTAAACCACCATGTGATCCCCAACAATATTAAGACCGGGATAGGGTTGCTGAAGAGTTTTCAGTAACGGCGAAAACAATGTTGGATTCAGCTAGGACATGAAGTAGCTTTTGCGCGGCATTTCCGGCCGAAGAACATGATAAAAAAATATTAATTCGAAACTTTGTAGCTTCCCTCTGATTTGCTTGCTTAATCCTCATAACTCATTACTCAAATCAAAACGTACTTATGGGATATAGTGAGGCTTGGAAATTGTATTTCCATAACATTTACTTACACAGGGCAGTGATACTATTATCAAGTGAGTTGCTTTGATAGACAGCTGCGTATCCGATGGTATCCTAGATTTGATAATAATTATTAGAGAAAAATTTTTCGCCTTCGAATGCTATGCTCACCGTTTTTTCTCAACACTCCAGAGCATATCTAAAAAATGCATCGTTAAATTTCAGGTTATTCAGCTTGTTTTCGGGTTTCAATCCATGCCCTGAAGAGCGTAAAATCGAAACTCACGAGGTCTGGTCATTGTCAGAATCCATCTCGCTTTTGTGGATACATAATTCCACTCAGATAGGAATTTCCAATATATTTTTCCAAGAAATCTAATGTAAACGTAAGGTGGAGACCTCAGTGTTGTCTCGGCCGATGAGGAACACAGAGCTACAGAGATCGGTGAATTTAAATAAAATTATGCAGGCATTCTATATCCAAAGCCGCACTACGTGTCACCCGTAAGGTTTCTAACCACGATCGAAATTTTACCGTGAATAACGCTCATCTCCAAGTGAGATGTATCTGTCATCTTTCGTGACAAAAACAGTTCAAGCCGGAGAGCCTTGTTGAAGTAATGTGCCACCGGTATCAAGCAAGCCACTCTTTGGTAGTTAAGATGGTAGAAGTGACCCACTATGACAAAATCAATCGTAAATAGTAAAAATCAAATGGTGACATACTTCATACGTGCGATCATTGAAGATTTACTACTCCCCTCGATTCCATATGACCCTTCCCGATCATGCTAATGCGTGGCAGTGCATGGTAATGCGTCATCGGCAACGAACTGTGGATCGTGCCTGAAAAAATCTGAATCCCATCAAAGATTGAAGTTACCGAACAGAAAGGCCGCAACAGGAGGATGCTTTTCAGGCGATTCAAGGAAATGGGCGAAATTCGAATTGTTTAGTAGATATGGTAAGCTGCAAGCCGACTACTATTGTTAGGGCGGATTCAACTAAATCAAGTTGCCGTGAACAAGGTACCTTGGTGTGTAGATCAACGAAGTTAGTGACGTGTACAGGAGCTGTTTTTCCAAAACTTAATCCCCAAGAAGAGCGAAACCAGTCGTGGGCTGTTGACAAAGTTTCAGCCACCTTATGAGTAGTGCATTACGAATATGCATGTATTACGATATCTCAAATATCGTAGCGACTGAAACATGAGGCGGCCTGGTGCAGGACATTCAGTCGCCTGGAATCATCACAAACGAGAGATTCAGCTGGGTTCCAGGTGAGTCTCTCGAAAAAGCCAAATTAGTTTGCAAATGAGTGTATATTCGCTAACTTCGTGCAATTTGGTTTCGAGTAGAACGTAAGGTTGGCGGAAACCCTGGGACTGCGCCTACCTGATAAGCCCCAGAAAGGGCGAAACCGGTCTTGGTGGGCTGTCGCGGATTTTGAGCAACCTTATGAGTAGTGCGTTTTGAATAAAACTTAATACTGTTGCATCCAGTGAGTCAAAATTTTGATACTATTCAAACAAGAAGTGGGGCTTGATCAGCCGTCAGTCAGCCCGTATATTGTGCAATCACGAGATCTCCAAAAATTACTTGACAGCCCATTACCGATTTGGACCCTCTTGAGGCTCATCAGTTAGGCGGCGTCCGATGTTCCCTTAATCTTATACTCTAAGAGCAAACCGATTGGAGACGGCTCGCTAAATATCCTCATTTGAACACTCGTCTACCGTAAATTTCGTTGAAGAATACCATGAACGACAGAACTATCTGGGATTAAGGTGTTTCCTGTTAACATCTAAATTATTCGACAAAATACCGATAAGACTTCAAAGCAAATAGAGTACATTGAATCTGGCTGAAAAAGTAGCAACCATATTCCGGTTTGTGTTTTTAAAACCCTTGAGCATATTCTGTGCCTCTGGTAACAAAGCAAGTTTGTTTCACTGATGACTTCACTTTCTTCTGTTCTCAAACAGTGAATTTTTCTCAGTTCATTCTATCAAAAGCAGTCAAGTGCACGTGTGTACAACAACTATTTTTCTATATCGAAAGACACGAAAATATGGAAAGTGTCCTGGTTTTCCTATTGGTTATTAAATGAGTTATATTTCTTGTCGCCATCGTATTTGGTGTGGTAATGGATCAGTGGAAAACAAGCATCGGCCAACTTGTTCCAGAGGAGGGAAATTTTCGGTCATGATGTCGGTGAATGGATTGCAAGAAGGGTTAGGAACCACTGCCGTAGACGCATTAACCAGCTTCCTTTTGGTGACTGGTCCCACTTCAGTATATACGTTTGTCTTTGAGGGTCGAGTCGGAGTCCCTTAGTATGCCCTAATGCCTGCTGAAGCAAACTTGTCACGATGTTCTTCTACCGCTTGTAAAGGTCATTAGGATAGCGGATGAGTGGTTGGTGTTGGATACGCCTCTCCCTGACAACTCAACGTAAGTTGGCTCGTAGTCGTGAGGCTCTGGAATATAGCGACGCCGCAAAACGAGATTCTGTGTATATGCAAGAGTCAATAGACCTGTGGCCCTGTGCGCGTGCATGTCTAGACCCGCACGGTTCCCTCTACGCCCACATATAATGGCTTGACCTGACCTCACCCAGGATCAATTTTTACTGAGAATTTTGTATGGCCTAGTGTCCTGGACATGCGAACGGACCACTTAAAGTATACCGTCAATAGGAATGAATGCATTGCTCACATATACGACACGATTGTTGGGCGGCCATCCTGATAGTGTATTCTAGCTGGCCACTCACAAGAATGGAAGTTGATGCTCCGCGTCAACATGCCGTCAATCAAGAACACGTTCTGGCCCGTTTGTCAGCACGCCAACAAATTACCATCAACGTTGAGGTTATGGTTAAGTTTGGCAGTAATTGGTGAAATATCCAAATCTAATATGAACGAAAAACGGCCATTCTGTCAGGCCGTGTTCTGAAATGGAGGTCAAAATAGTTTGTGTAGAGGCCATCAGAGCAATGAGAGCAGTAGTATTTGTGAATATTCATTCTGACATACCATCCAGTTGATCACACGGTCATATTCCTGATCAGAAACAATTGAATGTATCACTAAGAGTCAGTGGTCCTAAAACAAAACATAAGCAGGCCTTTAGTAGCAGTTGTTCCATCGATCAAACCTCCACGAATTAGGCCGAATTTATTGTCTACAAAAACTGGCAACAAAAGGACGAGCAGAAGGTTAACAAATCTGTTGAGACTAACTCACCATTGCATTTGGCACGCCAAGTTAGGTACGAAATTAGTCGTTTTCTCCGACTGATCGTATTCATTAAAAACTCAACGAGTCAGGGAAGGTGCAAGTAACTGCTGCCTACATGATAAAGTTGGGTAGCACTTTGGTCAAACTTTGCTTGTGCACTGTGGGATATTCATTACATTTTCTCACCTACCTGGAGGGGATGATTTATCGCTATGAGGCGATCTGTTTCTTAACAGATGATTTGAAGAACTCCGAAAAATAGCAGCTTCTGGTAGATGACATCTTCTGCAGAGGTACTTTAGGTTGTTACCACAGTGGTTGACTGTGGTCATTGCTAAAAGATTGTCACTTGCCTACAGGAGGACAACAACATAAGGAAAGCTACACTTACTGTTCAAAAGGTTGAAATCGAGCTCTTGTCCTCAAAAGAATCAATGTAACGTCTGCTCAGTGGGAGAGTGTATACTTCTGCCCGGGATTAGTTGATTTTTGGGAAGTCATAGTTAAGAAGGAAGGCAGTTTTTGTGCAGGGATACTACTATCAGGTGTGTTGCTTTGATGTACAGCTGAGTAACTACTTTACTAAAGTATACCATTTAAGCCACCCGAAACTCGATCAGCGATCATCATAACCATCTGTTTGCATAGATGCGGGTAAGCATTTTGTCAGTCAACTGTGGCGAGTTAGATTGATTCCAACCTTAGCCCGTCAAAGAATATAACTTGATGCGCGATAACATGCAACAATTCAGAAGTTTAGTAAATGCGGGCACCTGATTTTCACCCGGACTAAAAAAGCTGTCAGCC